TTCCCAAAATGTCAGTGGTGGGTTTCAAATTTTTTTATTACTGGTTCTGTGGGTGTGGCATGGCTTGGTGGGTGTGGCTTGGTGGGCATGGCAGGGGAAGGTTACTGCAAAATCCCCATTTCCTCCCGATCAGCTGGGATTTGGGAGGCAGAGAATAGATGGGGGCAGGGCCAGCCAGAATTTTTACTACCGGTTCTCCAAACTACTCAAAATTTCCGCTACCGGTTCTACAGAACTGGTCAGAACCTGCTGAAACTCACCTCTGCACAGTATTATAATACCATCTAATGAGAACTTCAAGCACCATAGTTCCCTGATGCCTGAGTTGTGCCATACAATTTGAACAGGAGGACACCAGTGTCTTGATGTCAGTCTGTGTCTGGGAACTTCCAATGAAATCACTGAACTGCCTGGCATTGCCATCTTTCCAATTTGGAATTAATCCAAAGAGAAAGATTACTTTTAGGACCTCTGCAATGTCCTGATTCAACCAATTGCCAAATATACAAAGTATGTACGTGCAGGATTGAAAACTTCTATCATCAGCTCAATTTCTGCCATTGCTTACTGATGGAATGCTCTGGCATCCATTAGCATTTGAACATGCTATCTTGGAATTCTGGAATTTTTAGTCCCAGAGGACATCAATTTGAGGAAGGATGGAGTAATGCAGGGCTCTCCAACCTTGGCAACTTTATGATTTGTGAACTTCAACTAGCTGGCTGAGGAATTCTGGAAGTTGAAGACCACAAGTTGTAAAGTTGTCAAGGTTGAAGACCCCTGGAGTAATGCATGTCATTAATTAACAAAGAACTAAGATCTGAAATTGATTATTCGACAGAAGTAGGCAATCTCACAGATACATTCATCTCCTCCCAGAATAATTCTGAACTTCACAGATAGCATAAACTACAAACATTAAAATACAATTTAAAAGATATATATAAATTTGGCCCCATGATTAAAAACAATAACAATCAATTAAAAACGTTTTAAAAAGTGTTAGGCCAGCCCGACTTGCTGGAAAAAGAAGGTTTTAAGGGCACGGCGGAAGGCACCAAGGTCTTGGATTCTCCTTATCTCTGGGGGCAGCTGATTCCAGAGGGTAGGTGCCCCCACAGAGAAGGCCCTCCCCCTGGGGGTCACCAGCCTACATTGTTTGGCTGATGGCACCCCGAGGAGGCCCTCTCTGTGGGAGCGCACAGGTCGATGGGAGGCTGTCAGTAGCAGCAGGTGCTACCTGCAGCAGCAAGCAACTTGTGGTATGAGATTTTATTAGGAAATTATTTCCCACCAATTGAGGTAAACTGTGTGGGAGCAAGAACTATTTTACACACCTATTTCTCAATGTACATAAAAAGAAATTACAGCTGCGTTAATTTGTGAAAAAAAAAACATTCTCAGCTCTAAACGCCATTTTAGATGTTGTTTGAACTGCAAACAGATGGCTGAAAAATCTGCTTAATATTTTTAGATTGTTTTGCTTATCCCCTTACTATTGAATTTAGCAATATTAAATCATAATTATGGAAATCTCAAAAGTTTGTATTTGTTTTGCATAGTTTAGTGAAGTCCAATAGAATTGGATTTACCTGATTATAGTTTTGGGATTGTGATGCAAATTGAGAATTTTAGGTCCTGGAGCTTTTGCTTTCCCTGGGAGAAGGATAGTTTTCAACTCCAAAAAAATCAATTTAGGTTTGCGTGTGTATTCACTGATATTTTTTTTAAGAATGTAGTCCCTGGCTGCAAAAAAAAAAAAAAGGCTACTCACCTTTCCGATTTACCCTAATACACTTGTTTAATTAAGCATATCTTTAAATTGAATAGGAATGCAAATGAATGAAAGACAATGAGGACTTTAAAAAATATATGTGGCAGTTTAAGAAATTCAAAAACTAAGAATGCAGGTTAGATGGTTATAGCTTTAGTCTGGCAAGAGTCAGTCTGTTAGATGTAAGCAAATAAAGAATTGGATTTGATTAGATTTCACTGGGTCGTCTTTGGACTTGAGTCCAACAAGGGCAGAACAACTGAGTCTCTTGATACCAGATTGCACACCTGCTTTTTTTTTTTTTTTAATTTGATTTATATGCTGCCCTTCTCCGGAGACTCAGGGCAGCTTACAATGCATTAAGCAATAGCCTTCATACTTTTTGTATATTTATACAAAGTCAGCTTATTGCCCCCACAAACTGGGTCCTCAATTTACCTATCTTAGAAAGGATGGAAGGCTGAGTCAACCTTGAGCCTGGTGAGTTTCGAACTTACAGTAATTGCAGACAGCTGGTGTTAATCACAATGTTTTCAGTCTGCTGAGGCCCTAGGCCCCAGGACTCTTGAAAGAGTCCACTTTGAGTTAAACCCAATAAAGCCTCTTTTAGGAAACCAATAGGTTCATCCCTAATATTATGGTCATTTCCTTATCCAGAACTATGCTTACTTTGGGGTGGGTAAAATAAGATTAAAAACATAGATCCAGTCTATGTCACTCTTTTTTCAGAAAAATGAATGCAGCCCTTAATTATTTAATCAGTTCCCCCCGCCCTCCAAAAGTACTGAAATGGCATTGTATATAATAACTGCAAGAATTTTATACATATTTTTTATTGGAAAAAAATCTCTAATTTCCTGTATAGAATGGTGATTAAACTGTGTTTCAATGCCTAGAATAACTTGACGTCTAAAAGGTTACTATTCAGTCTTCTTTGGAAACCATTTCTTCACTATGATTTTATACATGGAAATGTGCTTCAATACTTCTCAAATTTGGATTCTAGAATTTATTTATTATATAGCAATAGTAATAGCACTTAGACTTATATATCACTTCATAATGCTTTACAGCCCCCCCACCCCACCCCCAAGCAGTTTACAGAGTCAGCATATTCAAATCTCACCAGGCTCAAGGTTGACTCAACCTTCCATCCTTTCGAGGTAGGTAAAATGAGGACCCGGATTGCGGGGGCAATAAGCTGATTTTGTATAAAAAGAACACTGCTTGGGGGGGCCCAAAAGCCCTACTAAGCAGGTATATACAAAAGTATGAAGGCTATTGCTTAACGCATAGTAAGCTGCCCTGAGTCTCCGGAGAAGGGCGGCATATAAATCGAACTAATAAATAAATAAATAAATAAATAAAATATTGCCTCCAACAATCTGGGTCCTCATTTTACCAACCTCAGAAGGATGGAAGGCTGAGTCAACCTTGAGCCAGTCAGAATTGAACTCCTGGCAATGAGCAGAGTTTGCCTGCAAAACTGCATTCTAACCACAGCACCACCAGAGCTCCTAATATAGTTACACAATATTTGCAGTATTCTTTCAATCTATTGCTTGCTATTTAAATCTTTTCATTTTCCTCTTCTTGGTTTCAATTGTGCTAACCAAACATCTTTACAGTACAATGGAAATATATCTTGACTAGAAATTGATATGAAAGGTACTTTAAATTGTTAACGGTGTATTAAATAAAACCTATTGCAATTGCAATAGCATTTAGACTTATATACTGCTTCCCAGTGCTTTAAATCCCTCTCTAAACTGTTTACAAAGTCAGTCTATTGCCCCCAACAATCTGGGTCCTCATTTTACCCATCTCGGAAGGGTGGAAGGCTAAGTCAACCTTGAGCCTGGTGAGATTCGAACTGCCAAATTGCAGGCAGCCGGCAGTCAGCAGAAGTAGCCTGTAGTACTGCATTCTAACCACTGTGCCATCGTGGCGCTCTAGAGATATTAGAATATAGTCGCCATTTTACATTTTAGATCTGCTGGCTATTTTAGACTTGTTAGTTATCCATCCGTGTAGCTTCTTGATAGCTTCTTTTGGAGTTTTTTTTTCCTCCTTGCTAATTTTTCTGTATGCCTTTAAATGTGCATTTGTATCAATATTGTTTGTTTTTAGTTTTTAATTGAAATTATACGAGGAATACTAAATAAAAGATAAATGACATTTTGATCAGTTTTCAAATTTACTGTGGGAGTTTGGATTAACTATAAAGTTGTGGACACACACACACACACACACATATACTGGATTTTGGGGTCTGGGCCCTCTACTCATGCAATTAGAATGGACACCCCAAGATGAATGAACAGGTTTTATTTGTTTCATCAGGAGAAAATAAAATGGAATAATTAGAATCAAGCTGATATGTAATCAAACAGAAAACCAGGGTCCCCAACTTTGAGTCCTTCCTATTAATGATTGATTCATCTATTAAAAATACAAATACATGTTATGTTAAAAGTTTATGCATTTTCAAAATGAACAACCAAATCCACCCATCTGTTATACATAATACAAGTAATCCTTGACTTACGAAAGTTTGCTTAATGACCATTCAAAGTTACAATGGCACTGAAAAAGTGACTTATGGCCATTTTTTCACGCTTATGACCATTGCAGCATCCCTGTGGTCACGCGATCAAAATTCAGGCACTCATGTTTATGACGGTTGCAGTGTCCTGTGGTCCCCTTTTGTGATCCCCTTTTGTGATCTTCAGACAAGCAAAGGTCAATGGGGAAGCCAGATTCACTTAACAACCGTGTTACTAATTTAACAACTGCAGTGATTCACTTAAACAACTGCGGCAAGAAAGGTAATAAAATGGGGCAAAATTCACTTAGCAAACATCCTGCTTAGCAACAGAAATGTTGGGCTCAATTGTCATCATACGTTGAGGACTGCCTCAATAATGGGTTTCGCTTACCGGTTTGCTATTGGGAGCGCACGCACAGGGGCTTCTGCGATGCGCAGAAGTTTCTGCACAGGCGCGGAACATCCATGATGATGTCTGGGTGGGTGGGTGGAGCCTCCCACCACCGCCGCTACCAGTTCGCCTGAACAGGGGCGAACCGGTAGCAACCCATCACTGGACTGCCTGTATATGAAAGGTTCGAAATCCCCGTGTCTTTTTTTAATGTTAAAACAAGGCCAACAACTGGATGTTTCCGGTGAGACCATTCATTGTAATCATTTCTCTGTTATTATTTTCAGACGAGAAATCCTTCAGCACGTTGACGTCATCAAAAACTTTTCTTTGACAAAGAGCATGGTACGGATCGGACAGCTAATGCATTACGATTATTCCAGCCATAAGTACGTCTTCTCCATTAGCAACAGCTTCCGCTTGTTGCTTCCAGATGTCTCGCCGATTCAGAACAAGCACTACAACATTTGCGCTGTTGTGGGAAACAGCGGGATTCTTCTCGGCAGTCAGTGCGGGCAGGAGATAGACAAGTACGATTTTGTTTTCCGTTGCAATTTTGCGCCCACCGAAGCATTCCAGAAAGACGTTGGAAGGAAAACCAACATCACCACTTTTAACCCGAGCATTCTGGAGAAGTATTACAACAATCTTTTGACCATTCAAGATCGCAATAACTTTTTTCTAAGCTTGAAGAAGCTGGATGGAGCCATTCTCTGGATTCCAGCTTTTTTCTTCCATACGTCGGCCACTATTACCAGAACTTTGGTAGACTTCTTTATTGAGCATCGAGGACAACTAAAAGTCCAGTTGGCTTGGCCAGGAAATATAATGCAACATGTTAACAGGTGCGATTGGCTGTTGTGCACCATTCACTTTTTGGTGCTGTTTGCTTGGATTGTTTTCGGTGTAACCAAAGGTTATTCAATTTATGGCAGTTGTAAGAGGGAAGTAGGGTAGTTTTTGAACCAAGGTAAAAGACAGCATTAAGCTTCCATTGGCCACCTGAAAAAACTAAGAAGGAGCTGAACAGATTGGAGCAGAAACAACTACAGTAAATGAATAGAATAGAATAGAATAGAATAGAATAGAATAGAATAGAATAGAATAGAATAGAATAGAATAGAATAGAATAGAATAGAATAGAATAGAAAATACTTTATTGGCCAAGTGTGATTAGACACACAAGGAATTTGTCTCCGGTGCATAAGCTCTCAGTGTACATACAACAATAGTGATAGATCATTGTCATAGTCATTGTAAAAATACATTCATCGTAAAACATTTGATACAACACTTAGTGATAGTTGTGGATACTAAGTAAGCAATCAATATAAATCATACTAGGATACAAAAATATTATTATTAAATAAATTATTATTAAATAATTTAATTGTTAATCTTAACACTTTTAATGTTTTTATATCTATGCTTTTATACTACTGTAAGCCACCCAGTCACTCGGGACAGTGAGACGGGCGGCATATAAATGTAATAAATAACTAAAAGCTAGAAGTTAGGAGATAGGTGGGTATTTCTGTAGAGGAACTTTGAGAATTGCCACCACCAAAAAGGCCCTGCTCTGCCAAAGCATCCAAGAACCTCAGAAAAAAATATGAATGTGAAATAGGATTTCCCCAAAATAATGATACTTTATGGATTCTTATTTTACAGGTACTGGAAAAACAAGCATTTGGCCCCTAAGCGACTCAGCACAGGTATCCTGATGTACACCCTTGCGTCCGCTATTTGTGATGAAATCCACCTGTATGGGTTTTGGCCCTTTGGCTTCAACCCAAACAATAGAGAGGATCTTCCCTACCACTATTTTGACAAGAAAGGAACCAAGTTTACCACGAAATGGCAAGAATCCCATCAGCTGCCCGCCGAATTCCAGCAGCTCTTTCGAATGCACGGCGAAGGGCTTGCGAAACTGACTTTATCCCACTGTGCCTAAGGATTTCATACTTGAAGTGCCCAAAGATTGTTGCTGTCGTTTTTTTTAAAGGGGAAAAAAAAACCATGCCCCCCCCCCCACTGAATTTGCAATTCTTCGAAGCAGAATTCTAAAAGGAAAGGCATTGGTGGGAATAAGGTGGGGAAGCATTTAATTCTGGAGGGGTCTCCTGTTTATAATTACCAGTTTTCAAAGCCTAGGAAGGCGGCTTTGCCAGTTTTGCAAGACCGAAGTATTTCTTATCTTCCTGAAGTAGGAAAATCCAGGCTGTTTATAGCAGAAAAGTTTTGAATGTCTTAGCTATGCTGCCAAGAATATTAAAGTATTTTCATAGTCATATATTTTTCACATTCTGCGAAAGGAAAAAAAAAAAGGGTGGACATTATCAATGGTTAGAACTTCTGTGTTTGCTCTTATTCAGACTAGCTTATTGTTGTTTCTGGATTTCTTTGCTGGGGGGTGGGGGTCAATTTATGCTATTGCTATTCATAGTGGAACATGTCTGTGTTTATTCATGATCAGCCTGAGAATTTTTCCTGATGTTTGGACTGAATGATGGTTTAGGGCCTATTAAGATCACCGAGAATGTCTCCTGATTAGGAGACGATTGAACTTTGATTCCCAAAGTCTAGTTTTTTTCTCTTTGGAGGTCAAAATCAAGGAAAGGTCAACGATATTTTCCATGCATTTAAGCATCTATAGATGGCAGGGATGATCGGCAGAATACCCAAAATGGCAATTTGGCCATTGGACCCAATTTTCAAAGCCGTTTTTTCTTTTCAGATCTCTTGGTGAAAGTATTTGCTGAAGCTACAATCAGTGCAATTCAGACTAAATAGCTAATGTGGTTCTGTGGCACTTATTGGTATAAAAATAATTCTGTGCACGTGGTATCTGTGCAAGAACACCATCATTTTGCACACAGTGTGTTTGCTTAAATAAAAGCAGCATGTTTCTGATCTGCCAATGATCTTTTTGCAAATTTAAAAAAAAAAATCCCTTTCCCTTGCATGATTCCATATGTAGAGAACTACAGAGATGGTCTTGGAGAAAGAATGCGGCAGCATTTAGGAAAACATGAATTGATTACTGTATTATTATGGTTGCTTGCACAGTCAGTCAGACGTTTAGACTGGATTTGGCATTTCTGTCTACCTAATGAGTCCTTTCCAAGGACCTGGGATAGATAGTTGTCATCTAATAATTAAATATATAGGTGTAAAGCTGCCCTCTGCAATTGACTAGTGGTGATTTTGTCAATGCCTATGGTGTTCAGGTGATGCTCCAGATGTCTTAGAATTGGACCCAAGGGGCTTATTACTATGGGTACTACTATTTTCTTTTGCCACAGTTGTTCTTCTTCTATTTACAGGTCTCTGCAGTTTGTGTTTTTCTCCAGTTGTTTCTCTTATTCTGCTGTTGTCTCCAGGTACTGCCATGTCCACTAACCAGACTTCTTTTTGTTTTTCTTATCCACAATTGTTAAATCTGGGGCATGTGTGTCTGCTTGAATTTCAGACAATTTCCCAGAGCTTCTTTGTTTTCTATTATTTTGTGTATTTTGTGGTTCCAACAGTTCTTGCTTGCAGGCAAGTGGTGTCTCTTGCAGCTATCCCAATGCCCCATTGTTCCTACTTGTCATGCTGTTGTTTGTAGTCTGCCTGTTCGATCCACTTGCAGTGAGTAACTAAGTAATCCACTCTTTCTTCAGATTCTTTGCAGAGGAAGGGTTGGTGTCTGTTGCTGCCTTTTCAATTCTGGTTTTATAAAGCAATCGTTCTTAAGATATGGTTTTGTGCAGCCAGAAGTAGCTTCTCTGATTCTTCTTTCAACTTTCCTGTTCTTAGCTATTACAAGGTCTTGTTATCTGCTTGACCTATTAGGGTTTTTATTTAATGCACTGGCCATATATTAATTTGCCTCATCATGTTTCTATTCTGTTCTTCATTTGGTCTTTCTTAATAGGCTAATTTGATTTCTTTGATATTCAGTAAGCCTTCATGGTATATTAGCTTCAGTGTCTCTTTTTCAAACTTTCGTATATTCTTCCAATGCCCTATTATTTTCTTCAACTATCTTGTGATCTTGTAACGTTCCATACGCACCTATGCTCCTTGGTAAATAGAGTGTATCATCCTCCTTATGAAGATGAAGGCATGATTCACTGTCATTATTTTTCGGGTCTTCCTACCCAAGTTTCTAGCTCAATTTGCATCCAGTCCACTATTCCAGTTGTGTATCTAATGATTGGAATTGCCCAAATATCAATCGCTTTCATAGCATTTCCGCCTTTGAGTTTAGTCTTTTAAGATCTTCTTCACTCTTCTGGGGGATTCATTACTTTCTTCTTAACTTCAGTGTGCTTGATATTGTCAGTGTGAAGGATGCCCAGGTATTTGTAGTGATCTTCTTCATCAGAGGTGGTATTCAGCCAGTTTGAGCCAGACCGGTAGTGGCGACCTACGGGTGGGGGTGGGCCCATCCACCCACCCACCCGGGTGCAATCCTGTGCTATATTGCTGTGTTTTTGATGCTGCACACGTGTGGATGGTGCGTGTGAGCAAATTGCCCTGTTTGGTGATGCCGCACCCATGTGTGCACTCACATTTCCGGTGCTGGGCGAACCGGTTGCTATGTGAATCCACTTCTGTTCTTCATCCTCACTCTTGATGTTATTTCCATAAGGTATCTTGCTCCTTCAGCTGTCACTATTTTTTTCCCCTGTTGATAGTAAGGGTGGCACGTTTGTCCAGTCCAAACTCTATTGGGCAATATTTACAATATAGCTTGGGCAATGTTAGACAGAGATTCTATTTCAGATGGCATTTTTCCATACAGCTTCAGACCATCCCTGTAAAGAAGTAAAATAGCTTGACAGATATTTGATAGTCATAGCCTGACTTATTCAGTATTGTTGACAGAGGAATCAATCAAATAAAAATGACAAACCGTAGTGGTGAGAGTGAGCCTCCTTAGAAGATTCCTCTCTTGATATTAACCTCTTCCAATCTATCATCATTGACCAGCCAACGATGTCTTCCATGGTTCCATTGATCTTTGCCCAAAGCTGCTGATGTTTTCTATTGTCTCTTGTTATTTCTAGGCATTTGATTATCGAATCATGTGGCAGGGAGTCTAAATGCCTTCTTGTAATCCAAGCTACATCCAGATTGGTCTTCTTTCTCATGCAATTTTCCAGAATCTTCTTGTAAATTAGGAGCTGATCTTTTTGTTCCTCTGCTGTTTGAACAGTTTCCTTTCTGCTCAGGTGGAAAGAGCTGGTTTTCCACTAAAACGGTGTTGGATTGCATTCACTGCCACATCTGTTAGCAATCTGAAAGTTGTTGGTGAGCAGGTAATTGGCCTGTAATTGCCTGTGCTGCCTCTTTTGCTAGATCTTATCAGGTGTTAACCAATCTTCAACTTCACCTTTGTGTAGTTAGTTGTTAAACTTCTTGCTAATGAGTAGGTGTAGACCAGTCAGATGTTTCAACCAAAAACCATACTATTCATCTTCATCTGGTGCTGACCAATCCTTGATCTTCCTTGTTCTTTGGTCCACTGTTTCTGTTGTAATTACAACTTAATTCATTTTAGCTTCTTTTTTTATTCTTTTTTTAAATAAATATTTTATTGATTTTCAACCATTAAAATACAAAAAGAAGAAAGTTTGTGCATAACTGTGACATATTACTATATTTCACTTATACTCTATACATTCTAACTAAATTCAATCCTACTTTGTCTCATTTTTTTTCTATTCTCAATCCATTTATACCACTTCTCCCATATTATATAATATTCTAAATCCATCAATCCTTTCAGCTCAAGTGTCATCTTATCCATTTCAGCACAGTCCAAGACTTTTTTAATTATTAAGTCTTCCAAGGGTATATTTGTGTTTCTCCAACACTATACCGTTATTTTATGTAGAATAATGTACGTTGGTTTTTTTGTCGCTTTTTTTTTTTTTCGTTATCCCCAGAAGAAACAGTTCCGGAGTGTAGTCTATTTGGACGCCAGTTAATTCCTGTAACCAATTTTGTATTTTTTTCCAATATTTTTTCGATTCTGGGCATAACCTTCTTTTTTTTTATTCTTATCCTCCTTTATTGAAGCTGCATTCTTGTTGCATTTTTTTGGGTGGGGCCATATTTGCACCCAGAACTGCACTGTTTCTTCTTTGTCAGGTCTTCCCTGGTTCATTGCTCTCCTTCCATTGATGGATTGATAGAAGTGTTTCTGATTCAACTGAGATTGGAAATTCTGCCTATAATGTGCAATTCAAGCTTCATATTTACTGACCTTCTTGGCTATTTGCTGCTTTATTATTCCCAGGGCTTCCTTGATCTTCCTTGTGGTTGTTCTCAATGGGGCAACATTATTATTGTTGGATACACAGTTAGTCAGATGTCTACGGATATTCTCAGTCATCCAAGTCATGGTTGTCCCACAGCTGCTTTTCCAAAAGGCAACTGGACTTCCTTGGTTTTCCTTGAAGATGTTTCGTTTCTCATCCAAGAAGCTTCTTGAGTTCTGAAATTCTGAAGTTCAGAACTCAAGAAGCTTCTTGGATGAGAAACGAAACGTCTTCAAGGAAAGCCAAGAAAGTCCAGTTGCCTTTTGAAAAAGCACCTCTAGGACAGTTAGTCAGCTATGATGATGGTGGTAGTAGTAGTGTTGATTAGTGGTTGCTTGCTCCCAAACTCTCTGTATGTGCAGTTCTAGTAGTCGTTCCTGTTGAATCTATTTCCTGACCTGGCATACCTCAAAAGGCTTGGAAGATCCTTGAAAGCCTAACAGTATTTTCCTTCCTTTCTTATACTAAACAGTGTCAAGACAGAATCATTTTAAGGTTCTTTCTAAAGCATTTTTTTTCTTTTCCTGGGCTTAATTCATCTTTGCTAACAGTTGCATTCTTTATCCAAGGCCATCTCCGTGGTTCTCTGTACATAGCAAGGTAGAAGTTGGGGTCAGTCTGGTCTTTTCTCAAACACTGTTTCCAAAGAAGAAGGAAACAAAAACCCCTTCCTGGGACAAAACCCTTCCATGTCTTCAACTGATGAGGCCTTGGATGTGAATGAAGCCATTTGGCTGAGCGGAATGGGGCCCCTGAAGTCTCAAGATGCCCATTATTCTCCATATTTTAGAATTTTGCAATAATCTTTACTGTGAGACGTTGGGCATTTCTGCAATTTTCCATTAAGATAAGTGACTGCTGATATTGAATAGGGCTGTCGAATTTAAGCAGCAAAAAATTCAGAGGACACTAGATGGCAGCAAAGAAGCAGCAGTTCTGCATTACTCTCCTGCCATCTAGTGACTGTCTGGTTTTCTGCAGCCTATATCTGGTAGCCCTTCTGCTCCTTTATTGGATTACATCATTGTTCCTATTGAAGAATAATGTTCTAAGAAATAATGAACTAGTAGGATTTGGTGGACATCGCCTGGTTATCACATCAACCCTAAGTATCCAGATGTCATATCACTGCTTCAGTGAATATGCTACAAAGGCTTCTCTGATGGAATTAAAAGAAGAGAATATTTTGTATTTTAGGGCTGAACTATGGAGACTTTGGTGCTCTTTGAGCTTGGTTGTTTTCTTGCAGACATTGCATTACCCAATTAGGTTACATCTTCAGTGCTACTAGCATTCTATGAAAAAGATACTACACTTCAGGCTACACTGAAGATGTTACCTAGTTGGGTAAATGTCTATGGAGATTCTCACTCATCCAGGTCATGGTTGTCCCAAAGGTGCTTTTTCAAGAGGCAACTGGACTTTCTGGTTTTTTCTTTGAAGACATTTTGCTTCTCATCCAAGAAGCTTCTTCAGCTCTGACCTGGATAGAGAAGAAGCTTTTTGGATGAGAAGCAAAATGTCTTCAAAGAAAAAACCAGAAAGTCCAGTTGCCTCTCGAAAAAGCACCTTTGGGACTATCTTGTTGAGCAATGAAAC